AGCCAGACCTTATCACCAACATCAGTGTTGGACCTCACTAATGCTCTGGCGTCTGAATGACTGCAGATCCCTGCAGCCAGTTCTTAAAATCTGTTGGAACCAAAAGAGTAAGGCTGTAATAACAGTAGATTAATGGCCATGGTTTTGGAAAGACATATTCAGCAATCACACATTTATTTTGTCTTGTACATAACACACACACCAGTACACACATGTATAGTGACTGACTGATTGTGTAGGGCATGCAAGCCATTTATACAGCTGGTGATGAAGATCAAAAGAACTAGTGGCAACAAAAGCCGTCACATGTCTTGGCCAAAAAGTCACACTAGAACACACCTCACCAACTACAGCAAACGGCCATATGTGCGAGAGTTAATAAGGCTACATACCAGCAGGTAGTGGTAGTCTGCATTCATAATTTAAAAAAAAAAACATCGGAATACCTAGAACTGCAGATATAAAGAAAAGCAGCCCAGTGGTGTATTTAAGTGATCAGATGAGATGAAGTTGAGAAATGAGACAATGCTTTTGTGCGTGCCCTCTTGACAAAGTAATTTTCTGCTTTGCCAACCGTCAGCCTGATGTGTCCGGACCTTGACAAGCCAAGAAGAGTACCAATAGGCCATCAAAAAGCATGGAGAAGATTGCTAGCTAATGTAAACTCAAAAGGCCGCTATCTGGCTTTTGAGAGCTTTATACCAAATCCCACAGAACTTTAGTCATGTAATAGCAGTTGGAGAGATGATAATCCCTGTCTTTGTTCAAAGACGGTCCTTAGTGTCAGATGTTAATATCCTCTTTGATCTTTCCCCGGCTGTCCACTGACTCTTGGTCTATGACCTTTGACCCCTTTCCAGTCAGTTTCTGGTGCACAGACTTTGAGGTCAAACTCATCGACCAGGCGGCAAGAAAAAGATCAAGGGGACATTCATATCTAACTCCAAAAACCATCCTTCAACCAAGACAAGCCGGCGTTAGCTCTTCAGAAAAACAGTAAAAGTAAAATGAATCAAAAAGATGAAAGTGCAGGCAAATAAACAGAGGAGAGTACAAGATGCCAGTGAAGGATGGACTACTTTTAGTTACAGTTCAACGCAATAGAGACCAGTTTTAGCCTGGTTTTAAAGGAGTAAGGGCAAGCCTTACCTTCTTACAGTGTGTCACAGCCCCTGTGTTCATGTGGTAAAAGAGAGGGAACACTTGACAGTAGAAGACTTAACTAACTGTATGCTCAAGCGTGTACAGTTAAAGACACTTCTCCTACAGTAGATTACAAATCCAATCCTCTCCACTAAAGACTACAAGGAAACCAGTTTGGGCAGTAATGACATGTCCCTCAGCCACTGAGCTGTCTGACTCAATCTTAATTAGTGTGGTATTTTTGTACTGCAGTCCTTGTGAAAACCAATTATAGTTCCAGGACGTGTCCACATTGCTGTGGGTAAATGTGAAAATACTGTTTATGTGTCAAAATGTTTCCGCCCGCAACTGCCAAAACAATGCAAATCAATTCTGCTTCCTCCCGTGCTCGGCAAACTAAAGGGGGCATTACCACCATATTCTTTGTGGCGTTCATTCCAGACACAAAATAACAGGATGTGGTCTGTACCTACCTGCAGCTGACATTTCAACAGCCCATTTGCAACGCTGTCTCCTAGAAATTACCTTTATATATTAATAAATTGTTTTCTGTTACTTTGCAATGAAAAAACTTAATTACTGTCTAGATTATGTTCAGAGGCAGCGTTTGAATGAAGTGCTACATTTGTGAACGGCACTGTCACAGGACGGTGGTTGGGATGGACGGCGGGTGTACAGATTGTAGCACTTTGACCATAGATGGGGTTCCCAGGACCGATCTGATCCAGTATCGTATTGGGTTCCAATACTGGCCTAATTCTCATATTTGATATCGGACTGACATCACAGATCCACGTACCTATCCTGAATCCATAGTCTGATGGATTTATGATAGTAATTATATAATAATGCCCTTTTAAGCCCATTGCCAAAATCTTGTAGTACAAGATATCCAGTAGTCCCCATATTTTTTTGCCTCCCAGAATTCTATGATATAGACTTACAGACCATGAAACCACAATCTAAAAAAGAGTGAGATAGTAACAGTTGGCCTTGGTTTGAATGTATTTTAGTCTTGAAACA